TTTTAGTATATAATGTTATTACTTTTTATTATTCCTTATTTCCTGATGCTATGCAAACACCGAGAGTTTTTTTGCACCAAAGTCAAATTCCTTGTATGTCTCATACTTGGCCAATGAAGTATGCTAACTATCTATCTATCTGTCTGTTTGGGGTATATAATATATAAATATATACGTATATAAATTGTATAACTGGGGTGAAGTATATAAAGTGTTACATAAAGTTCAAGAGTAGAACTACCATCAGCAACCTCCTCTACATGGTTGACATGAATCTGTATGCTAAGAGTGAACAAGACATCAACTCGTTGATCCACCTGACACAGATCTACAATGAGAACATTGGGAGAAGTATGACTGGATGGCAGTAAAGAGAGGGAAGGTAGTCAAGACTGATGGGGTGGAACTACCAGCAACCCACATAGCAAACATACAGACAAGCTACAAGTACCTTGCTATCCCACAGTCACATGGGAACCATGATGAGAAGGCAAGGAAGACAGCAACATCCAAGTACCACCAAAGGATAAGACAGGTCCTGAAGGACCAGCTCAATGGGATCCATGGCATCAACACTTACGCCCTGTCAGGCATCAGATATCCTGCTGGTATAGTGAGCAGGCCAAAGAAGGACATGTAGGCTGCCTATGTAAAGACCTGGAAGTTCCTCACAATGTACAGAGGTTTCCACTCAAGTCCAACACCCAGAGCTTGTACACCACCTGGAAAGAGGGTGGGTGGGGTCTGGTGAGTGTCACAGCCACTGTCCTGGACAAAACCTAGAGCATCCAGGAGTACATCAGTAAGGTGGCACCAAAAGATGAGCTGCTGAGAGAATGCCTGAGAATGCCTGAGGCAACAGCAGATATGGGAGGAAGTTCAAGTAGAGGAAGTGCCATGGCAAGATAAGACCCTGCATGGGATGTACCATTGGCAGGTAGCTGGGAAATCCTACCAGTGGCTGGAAAGGGCTGAACTAAACGACAGCACTGAGGCACTGATCCAAAGAAGCAGGGGTATACCACACTAGACAGGACCCAAGGTTCAGACTGTGCAGAGGCAAGGTGTAAGATGCAGGCAGGAACAGCATGTTCCTCTGCTGATGAGGAAACTCATCAGGAAATTAGAAACCCAAGTTTATCGGAAGACAACCCACACTAATCAAGTACTCTATTACCAAAGTAACAACTCAACCTCCCACAAGAGGAGCTGTGTAAGAACATTATTCAAGGGAGCACAAGTGCACTGCAGCAACCCAGAACAGCAGAAAAAGGAAACAGACCACCTATACAACATCTTCCAACAAAATGGATATCTATGCAACTTTATCAAAAAGTGCCTGACCACTCAGCCTATTACAACACAACCTACACAAGCTATGAAAAGGAGCACACTGCCATGCATCAGAAACGTCTCAGAAACCACCAACAG